GTGACGGCCAGCGGAGGTGGCTGTGTTTTTTAATTCGAGATCTGTCAAGCGCTTGAACCTGGCTCGGTCCCACTGAACACGAGGGTGGAGAAATTCCCTGGAGAGCGCCATGGGACAGAGCCCAGCTTTCTGTCGGGAGAGAATACCCGTCGCCTCCTCTGCGTCCTGGCTCCTTCAGCTCTGAGCGGCCTTTGAGAGGAAACGAGGCCAAGCCCTGATAACCTTTCAAAACAGGAAGCCCGCTTTTAAAACCCCAGAGGAAAAGAAAGAAAGAGAGAAAGCCAGAAGGGGTGTTCTCAAAAGGACTGTAACTTTCCCACCGTTGGTTCGTTTGCTGGCATCGCCGGCGTTGGGGTGGCCAGAGGACACATTCCCGCCCCTCTCGCATGCGCACAGGAGACGTTTCACCAATGAGAGGAGTAAAATATGTCACCGTCACAATTCTCTCTCCTGCAAAATGCCCAGAAAATCTTCCTCTCTCCCACTATGGTTTATAAGCTTGTGGGTTCTACACCAAATTGAGCCTGACCACTCCCTAAAAGATAAAATGACCAAACTGAGGCGATCGTACTTTTGTCACATCATGAGAAGATAAAGAATCACTGGCAAAGACAATAATGCTAGGAGAAGAAGAAGAGGAAGAGGAGGAGGAGATTAATGAATAAATGAATAAATAATAAAATAAATAAATTGGATTGATACCCCGCCCTCCACTACCCGGAGGAGTCTCAGAGTGGCTTACAATCTCCTTTCCCTTCCCCTCCCCACAACAGACACCCTGGGAGCAGTGTTCCCGCTAAGCCAAGTGAATGTGAGCGAGCTCATCGTTTTTTAGCCTCCGGCTCACACATCTTTGTCTGAGCTCAGGGAGGAGGGCTCCAGAGCAAGCTAATTGACGCAGTAGCCAAATCGCTCGCTCACAACTTAAATGCCAGGAGCTCACCAAGTGGAATTTTTGCTCAGAGGGAAGCATTGCCTGCGAACTGGCGGGGCTGAAGGAGCTCTTTCAAGAGCCGCTCCTGAGGGAACAGTTCTGAGAGAACTTGTGACTGACCCAAGGTCGCACCGGCAGCCGCAGGCAGCAGGAAAAGAGGAAGACCAAACGTGCCACGGCCCTCCGTTTGCAAGCCCAGGGAACGGCAGTTAAAGATAAGGACATTTTGGAGGACATCGATTCATAGTCCGAAGCGATTTGACAGCACGACACACAGAGTCACAATGAACATAAGAACATAAGAACATAAGAGACGCCAATGTTGGATCAGGCCAAAGGCCCATCCAGTCCAACACTCTGTGTCACACAGTGGCCAGAAATACCAGTGCCATCAGGAGGTCCAGCAGTGGGGCCAGGACATTAGAAGCCCTCCCACTGTTGACCCCCCCCAAGCACCAAGAAGACAGAGCATCACTTGCCCCAGAGCCCCTAGCTATACCTTGTGGCTAATAGCCACTGATGGACCTCTGCTCCATATGCTTATCTAATTCCCTTTTGAAGCCGTCCATGCTTGTAGCACCCACCACTTCCTGTGGCAGTGAATTCCATGTGTTAATCACTCTTTGGGTGAAGAAGTACTTCCTTTTATCCGTGGAGAGGGCGTGGGTGCCCCGCAGGGCCACAGTTTGCTCCCAGCCGTCAACAGCTCGGCCTGACATTACCCCAGGTTCCACCCTGCCACTGTGTCATGGGGGAAATGAGAATACCCAGCACGCCAAGGTGTGTCCAGGAGGGGAAACATCTGTACCTCCCCCTCAGCGGTCACAAGGGCCCAAAGGCTTCCCAAAAAAGGAATAATCGGTGCTCATCCCTCAAACGCGTGTGGTTAGCTGGTCTCCAGCGGGAACGATGACAAATACCTTCCAGGCAGTGAACTCATCCCGCCCGTTTGGAAGCTGATAAGGCCAGCAGGGTTTTAAAAACGAAATGCAGTAAGAGTGCGGCATAGTGGCTTGATGCGTACAGCCCTGAGTTTGAGTCCCCTCCCTGTCACAGAGCTTACTGGGAGAGCTTGGGAGAAGGAGAAGAGGAGGAGGAGGAGGAGAGGAAGAAGAATTGGATTTATGCCCCGCCCTTCACTAGGAGTCTCAGAGTGGCTTACAGTCTCCTTCTCTTCCTCTCCCCACAACAGACACCCTGTGAGGTAGGTGGGGCTGAGAGAGCTCTGAGAGAACAGCTCTAAGAGAGACTGTGACTGACCCAAGGTCACCCAGCCAGGTGCAAGTGGAGGAGTGGGGAATCAAACCCAGTTCTCCCAGATTAGAGTCCATGTCCACCTTCACCACTGCACCAAACTGGCTCTATCTACCAACAGATAGATTCAGAAGTTTGGTGGGCGTCTTTCGGTAACGTTCAGGAAGAAATGTGGAGCTTGCAAAGAACATAAAAACTGGTGTTTGTCTTGGCGGGGGTGGGCCTGGCCGAAGCAGTAAAAGTTTCGTCTGTTAGTTTTGGAACCCGCCAAAGCCTGGCTCTGCTCTGGCATGGTGTGGCCGGTCACATTTTGGCTGCAGCGGACGATCTGTGCGGTTTTCAGAAGTGAAGCAAACATGTGCTCACCTTTGGGGCAGTGGTTGAGCGCTGGGGGGGGGGCTCCCTGCATGCAAAACAATCAGATATTTTGTTTTTTCCGACCCCCCCCCCAAAAAAAACCCCTCCCATCCCCCGTGGTGTTTAGCACAAGCTAGAAAGGATGCCGGAAAGCCTTAAGAACAGACCCCTTATGACCACAGAGCTTTGCAGCCCCAGAGGAGGTTGCCGGTTGCACACCTGCATGATTTACCGTTCACCATTTGCACGCATCCCCCTTTCCACTCAGGTTCTAGTGGAGGAGGAGGAGATTGGATTTATACCCCGCCCTTCACTCAGAGTCTCAGAGCGGCTTACAAACTCCTTTCCCTTCCCCTCCCCACAACAGACACCCTGTGAGGTAGGTGGGGCTGAGAGAGCTCTGACACAAACTGCTCTTTTTCAAGGACAGCTCTGAGAGAACTTGTGACTGACCCAATGTCACACCAGCAGCTGCGTGTGGAGGCGTGGGGAATCAAACCCCACTACACCAAACTGGCTCTCAAACTGGAGGCGTGGAAGCCCTTCCGAGTCTCAGTATTTGGTTTAATTAAAGGACCCAGTTGTTTCCAATTCACTGATTTGCCTTGCATGAGTCAGGCCAGGCAGGATAGATACCTATTTTATTAAATAATAAAATAAACCAATGAGTTGCTGTTCTGGCCAGGCCCTCCTCTCGAGCCAGAGGCTTGAAAGTAGCTCGTGCAGCTGCAGGCCAGATGGGATGGTTATCCGCGCAGCTTTAAAAGCAAACTTTGGAGGATGTTAAAGTGCAATTTTAATTTTTTAAAAAAGTTCTTTAAACTAGTGGGACAGGGATAAGCATGACCCTAAAAACTGCAGGGTCAGGAGCAGTGTTCCCTCTAAGGGGGGAGTGGAAGTGAAGAAAGACATCATTTGAGCCGTCTAAAGAACCAAAACCAGGCATTTCCCACTGCATATTTGGTGAATTTAAAATGCATCTCCTGCATTGTGGAAACGGCCAGCAATCCTAGACACTCTCATTTCCCCCCATGTGGTCCTCACAAAACTGAACTCCAGCCGGACTCAAACCTAAACCAGTAGCCATGAGGGGAAGCAGTCATTGAGGCATGCGGGGGTGGGGGGGAGTGGAAGTGAAGAAAGACATCATTTGAGCCGTCTAAAGAACCAAAACCAGGCATTTCTCACTGCATTTTATGTGATTTTAAAATGCATCTCACGCATTGTGGAAACGGCCCACGATCCTAGACGCTCCCATTTCCCCCCATGTGGTCCTTGCGAAATTGAACTCCAGCCGGACTCAAACCTAAACCCTTCCCACCAGTCTCAGAACAGATTGGAAGCAGTGGGTCCCTCTAAGCCGAGTGAGCGTGAGCTCGCTCGCAGTTTTTTAGCCTCCGGCTCAGACCTTTTTGTCTCGGCTCAGGAAGGAGGGCTCCAGAGCAAAGCCAATGTATGCAGCAGCCAAATCGCTTGCTCACAACTTTAATGCCGGTAGCTCGCAGAGTAGAATTTTTGCTCACAAGACCCCACAGCTTAGAGGGAGCATTGATTTGGAAGCCGCCTCTTCAAAATCCACACAGACCCAACGGTTCCAGTGGCGGGACCGAGTGAGTCCCCCAGCCTCCAAACCCCGCAGGGGATTTTTGGTAGAAATATCTACAGGAAGAGAGCAAAAAGTATCAGAGGCGAGATGAAGTTTCTTTCCGTCCATCGCGGCCCGTGCCGCCCTGGGACTTCTGGAGTGCAAGGAAGCCGGGGAGAGGGTGGAGAGACGCTGGAGGCGGGCCAGATGTTCGCCAAGCAGAGCACCTCCAGCACTTACCCTTGCAGGAGCGGAGAAAGTGAGCCTTGGTCTTTTGCTCTGCCGTCCGGGAACCAGAGGCCTGGCCCTAGTTCATGGACTCTGGGCAGTCGACATGAACAGAAGCAGCAGCAGCAGCCGCCCCCGAAGAGCTCAGACCTGAAGTCTGTGGCTCCAAAGTCCTCCGACTTCCCCTTTCCTCTCTGAGAAATGCAACCACTTCCTTGCGTGGGTGTGGGGTGTGTGTGTGTGTGGGGGAGAGCCCGCCTCTTTCCAGGCCAGCGGCGGCTTCTCGGTCCCAGCTGTGGGGATTCTCTTGTTTGCGTTCTGGCTTCGCTCGGCAGGCCTCTCTCTACAAAAAAAAGGGAAGAAAAGCAAAAGAGGGAAAAGGGAATTGCCTCCACAACCAAAAGATGTTCTTTCAAACAGGGGTTTGCGGTTGTAAGCCAGGTGGAGGGAGGGTACTGCCCCAAGCCTGGCCTGGAATCGGAAAACCCCACAGATTTAAGGTGTCTGGATTGGAACAAGTGGAGGTTGAAGTCATGGAGGAGGAGGAGGAGATTGGACTTATACCCTGCCCTTCACTCGAGGAGTCTCAGAGGGGCTTACAATCTCCTTTCCTTTCCCCTCCCCACAACAGACACCCTGGGAGGTAGGTGGGGTTGAGAGAGCTCTTTCCAGAACTGCCTTTGAGAGAACAGCTCTGAGAGAACTTGTGATTGACCCAAGGTCATCCAGCCAGGTGTGTAACCCAGAGTGTTGGACTGGATGGGCTACTGGCCTGATCCAACACTGGCTTCTCTTATGTTCTTACAGAAGGAGAAGAGATTGGATTTATACCC